CGAAGTTACGTTGAAATATATATATCTATTTATAGCTATGTACAGTATCTATACATATATTTCACAAGGCTCGAAGGGCCAGCTGTCCGAGGCTTCCCAGCCCCCTGAGATCCCACTGAGTCGTTGGCTTGGCCAGGATCCCTCTGATGTCGCCCCTTCCCCCCAAAATTGATTTTTTTTTTGCACTGCGATGGGCTGTCCCAGGTTGGTGCTTTCACTTGCCTCGGAGGGTTCTGAAGTCGGCCTGACCGCAGAGACGGGACGCAGACAACCTCGTTGCCACGTGAACCACGCTGGGGGTCAAACCCCTGGGAGCCGAGGCTACAACGCGGCCTTTTGTTTTAAATTAAAAAGCCGTTCAGTCTTAATAATAAATAAGACCAGAGAGAGGCAGGCTGGTGGGGGGAGGGAGGGGCGGGGTGTAAGGAGTGGGTGCTACAAGGAAGAAACTGAGGAGTGATCTCGTCCTCTTCCCCTTCCCGCCCGGCTGGTTATTGGAGTCGTTGGGAAGCAAAGTGCAGCTGGGGCGTGGAGGGCTGGCGAGCTCGGTTTCCATGCCCCCTGGCACAGAGAAACCACACGCAGCAGGTGCCCTGCAACGGCACAGAAGCGTTCGTGTCTCGTGGGGCCCCACCGGCCCTGCCTCCCCGCCAGGCCCAGGAGGCTGAGCGGGGAAGGCCGGTTGACAGCGGGGATGTGGTGGCAGCCGGATACCTGGGGGGCACATTCTTCTCCTGGAACGGTGCCCGCCACATGTTCCTGAAGCCCCTTTGCTTGGGAGGGGGCAGGTGATGGGGATGGGGGGTGTGTGTGTGCCAAATGCATTTTAAAAAATGCTCTTTTCAATGCAAAACTACAAATCCACTGGTCTCCGCTGCCCCACCCTGGTGCTGCAGGCGGGGGCTCCAGGGAAGCTGGCAAGGCTGGCAGCCACGCCGGGAGGGGGCAGGTGATGGGGATGGGGGGTGTGTGTGTGCCAAATGCATTTTAAAAAATGCTCTTTTCAATGCAAAACTACAAATCCACTGGTCTCCGCTGCCCCACCCTGGTGCTGCAGGCGGGGGCTCCAGGGAAGCTGGCAAGGCTGGCAGCCACGCCCCCTCTAATGCTGGCAAGGTCAGTAGTTGAATTGGGTGGAGGGCTTGATGGGGGACGAGGGCATGAAGAGCGGCTTTGGGGGGCCGGCTGCCGCACGAGGAAGGCGCCGGGCCCTTCGAGGGGCACCTGGGTGCCTGTGGAGTGCATGCGGGTCAGGAGCGCGGGGGGCGGGGGCTGCCGGACCACCTGGCTCAAGCTATGCTGCCGGGAGATCAGCCCCCCGCCCATCGCGAGGTTCATGAGCTTCTGCGCCGAGGACAGCGAATGCCTCTGCGACGGGTGCCGGGACGGCTGCTGCTTCTCCAGGCAGGACTGCGGCGTGACGTCGGGGGGGACATCCAGCCTCCGAGGCAGGCTGTCCCTGGGGAGGGTGGAAGAGCTGTAGTAGGGGGCACTCTCCGTGTCCGGGATCTTGGGCTGCACCCTGTTGGCGAAGGATACGGCGGCGTGGGGGCTGATGGCTGGCTGGTGGCCGGGCACCCCGCTCAGCAACTTCTTCGGAGAGCCGCTAGCCTCGTGGAGGTGCTTCAGCAGCTCCTCCAAGGTGGTCACCTCCACCCCCTTGGGCAGATAGCACTGGGAATGGCGCACCAGCACCCGCTCTGCATTGGGGATCTTCTTCTCCTCCGGGTAGCCAGCCAGTGGTTGGTCATAGCCCTGCAGGCTGCTAGGCAGCACCATGGCACCGGGGAACTGGAAGACCTGGGCCCCAGAGATGGGGCCATGGAATACATGGCCTTTGCCTTGTGACTCCTTGGCGTTGTTGCAGTTCTGGTTTTTCTCCCATTGGTTCCTGATGGCCTTCATGTTTTTCATGGGGAGCTCCGGGGTGGACTCCGGCGTGGGCAGCCCAGACAGCTCGGGGTGCTCCTTCACTCCGGCCTTGGCCGTCCCGTTGTGTGGCTCCTTCTCACTGGGCAGCAGGGTGGTGTAAAGTTTTGGAGAGGACGCTTCCGTCAGCCCGTCCTTAGACTGGCTGTCCAGTAGCCCGTTCATCTTAGCCAAGCTCCGCAGGGAAAGGGGACGCTGGATCGTGTTCTCGGGGTCCTTGCTGACGTGCTTGGCCTTCTGGAACATGTGACTGCAGTAGCAGGAGACAAACAAGCCGGAAAAGAAGGCCCCCAGGACAAATGCCACAAAGACGCAGCCGATGAGGAAGGTGAAATGGACAGTCTTGGAGCTGTCTTTGCCTTCCGATTCCTGGCGCACGCCTAGAAACACACAGCACAACACACACATGCACAAAAAGAGAGAATGAACAGGGAGGTTACTCTATCAATCCCTCGACATTCCTCTCAGGAATTGGCTGGGGCAGGAACGTCCTTTTCATAGGCCATGTATAGACTACACTGATCTATTGGAAAAAGGTACGCAAATTGCGCTCTGCAATTTGCGTACCTTTTCCCAATTGTTTTTTTGGAAGAGGCTTTTCCGAAATTTGGCCCTTCTACACTGGGCCAAATTTCGGAAAAGCCTCCTCTTTCGGAAGCGGAAGAGGAAGACAGGGCTTCTGAAAGAGAGTGTCTGCACTTCCGCAAAAAAAAATGGAAAACCCCTGTAGTGTAGACATAGCCATAGACAGTAGCTGAGCAAAATACCCTTCTCTACCCGGCACCCATTTTGGAGGTGATGGAAACTTTAACTCCTGGCTTTTCTCTCTTGTTTTCTGTTTACAATGAAATACGGAAAAGCCAAGGAAATCTCCAAAGCTTTGCTCCTGCTTAGCAGTTGCTGGGACTGCAGAAAGGAGAGCCCATGGCAATGACATGGAATGGAGAATGGTACTTGGGAAATGGAACTAGATGGCCAGTCAATGAAGGGGGCAATAGGAAGATTCCTACCTGAACTAACTCCTTTGGTTTTACCCGGGGTGAAATGTGGCCCAGTGGCTGCTGTCCCACATGAAAGCTAGGACGTGGGCACACTGGAGAGAGTCCAGCAGAGGGCAATGAAAATGTTTAGGGGGCTGGGGCACATGACTTATGAGAGGCTGAGGGATTTGGGCTTATTTAGTCTGCAGAAGAGAAGAGTGAGGGGGGATTTGAGAGCAGCCTCCAACTACCTGAAGAGGGTTCCAAAGAGGATGGAGAGAGGCTGTTCTCAGTGGTGGCAGATGGCAGAACAAGGAGAAACGGTCTCAAGTTGCGGGGGGGGGGGGGGGCTCTGGGTTGGAAATTAGGAAAAACTATTTCACTAGGAGGATGGTGATGCACTGGAATGAGTTGCCTAGGGTGGGGGTGGACTCTCCATCCTTGGAGGTTAGACTCATAGAACATTAGAACAGGAAGGAACCTCAAGAGGTCATAAATTCCAGTCCCCTCACAGCAGGACCAAGCACCATCTATGTCATCCCAGATAGATGTCTATATAATCTGCTCTTAAATATCTCCAGTGATGGAAATTCCACAACCGCCTCAGCTTGACCAAGCCTTGGCTGGGATGATTTAGTTGAAATTGGTCCTTCATGGAGCAGGGGGTTGGACTAGATGCCTTTTGAGGTCTCTTCCCACCCATATCTTCTATGATTCTATTAAAGCTGTGTCCACTCTTTGCAACCAGTGCGAACCTCCAAAGAAGCTCAGGGCGGGACAGGGAGAGGTTATTTCTAGCAATGGGCAAGCCAAGGCCAAGTGAAGGCCCCATTCAGGTGCAACTTCTTTAAAGTCAACAGTCTCAGAGATGTACAGAAGAAGAGATTCAGGCTGTGGGGTCAGAGGAGCATCTGAAGGTGGTAGATTCAGAGGTGTTAAAAGCAGAAGGGATCATGAGGTTGCCAGATGGTTTCAGAAGAAATAAAAAAAAAAAAAAAAAAAAAGGACCCCGAGAGTTGTTAAGTAAAAAAAAAAAATTGCGTGGCCCCTTTAAGAAATGTGTGGTGAGGCTTTTTGGCCCTAACAGTCTGCCACTGGCCACCCACCATCTTGCCTCCCTGTGCCAGGCCGGACAGCTCCCCTGCGGAACCCGGAAAGCACTATGGTTGCCAGCCTACCTCTGAATTGAGCCGGACAGCCCAGGATTTTCACCTCCTGGCCATTAAAAAAATCAGAAAATACTGGACATTTTAGGTGTCCGGTATTTTCTTAAATTTTTTTACCGGACAGGAGGTGAAAATACTGAACTGTCCGGGTAAATACCGGACACCTGGCAACCCTAAGGTCAAGCCACCTGGCCTTCTTTAGGACCACCGGCCAGATAATTTCACCCAGCTACCCCAGGATTAGCCAAAAACTTGCGCTTGGACTAACGTTTTGGATGTTGAGCCACATCTTGGGGGTTGCTCTGGGAATCTCTCTGGCTCACAGACAATTGCGATGGAAATCTTGGGAGAATGTGAGGGAGGTTGGACAACCCCGGCCTCTGGTCAGGGCAGAAATGGTGCTGAGAGAAGCTGCAAAAGAGCAGCTGGGGGGAGCAGGAAGAGGTTCTGCTGGAGGTTGGAGTGGCAGGTCCTCACCGGTTGGACTCGTAGCTTTCCCTAACTGGAGCAACAGGGCAGTTTCCTTTGGGAAAATCCCTTGAAATTCAACCATCCCGTTAGAAGGCAGCTGCAGCTGTCTCCGCTCTTTATTCTTTTCCTCCCCTTTGCAAGCCGCAGAGGCATTACCCTAATGGCACCGTATGGAGGGAGCTGATTAATTTCAAAGCTGCGTGCTCCAAACGGAATGGAGCAGCGGAGCCCACGGCAGCCAGAAGGCAGGCGGCTGTGGAGAGCAATGAGCAGCCTAAAGCAGAGAGAGGCAGGTAAAGCAATCAGGCTGCCTGACGGCTAATTGTGAAAGCTCGCAGCAGAGAGCGCGAGGAGAAGAGAAAGGGAGAAAGACAAAGGCCAGACAGAGGAATGGAAACCAGAGAAATGAGAGAGCAGGAAATAAGGCCACGGAGAGTGGGAAAGACACTCCCCCACCCCGCTCACTCTATCAGACCATCAAGGGGGTCACCACTCGGCCTCAAGAGTACGAGACCAAGAGAGTAAGGGACAGAAAAAGAGAAAAGAGATTTAGCTAGACAGTCGGAGGGATGTGTGGGGATGGATAGATAGATAGATTAGACAGACAGGTTGTAGTATAGGGATGGATGGATAGGATGCAGTTTAGGGAGGGATGGACAGAGTGTAGTAGGGTGTAGTACAGGGAGGGACAGATAGATAGCTAAGAACATTGCACGGGGAAGAATACACAGCTAATGCTCCCGTTTGGAAACACCCCAAGTTCTGCACCTGATCCATCACTTGCTGTAGTGAGTGGGAGTTTGGCTGCTGGCTTCCAAGGCTTTGGGTTGAGCCGCTCTGTGTAACTTGCCCGGAGCCCCGGCTCTTTGCTGATTGAGCTAACTGGGGTGGTGAAGGGAGATGGGCATGTGGGGCAGCAGGCCCCTGCAGGGTTTGACTGGGGGAGCAGCCACTGGGTCCTGGAGTCAGGAAGGAACGTTCCCTGGGGGCAGGTTTTCCCAGCGCTGCCGGATCCTTGTAGCATCCTCGGATGCAGCTGGTACCAGGCCCCGTGTGAGAGGAGACTGTAGCTAGACAGAGCTCTCTTCTGACCCATTCCGGAGGTTCCCATGGGACGGCCGTAGGGGACCGGGCTGGTGCTGAGGAGATGGCATGGGGTCGTGGGGGTCAGTGGCAGGGCGGTGCTGTTTTGCAGTGATCTCAGAGGCCACACGAGCAATACGGGTCTCTCTGAGACGGCGCAGGACACGACGAGAACCGCGCAGGCCAGGCTGACGGCACAGAAGTCGCAAGCACCCTCCCCCCACTGGGGTTAGCCACCAGGGACTAATCAGACAGCGTGCAGTTAGTAATTAATTTGCGCCCTTGGGGGAACGGAAGCCACCAGGGATCTGCTCAGCCGGCCGTGGCAGTAAGCGTGTGGGTGACAGTGACAAGCAACGTGTTCCATGCAGCAGCAGTGGTGGTGCTGGGGGATCATGCCTACCTACGTGACACAGGATCGAGGGGTACCACCCCCAGTAGTCACACTCACTCAGCAGCTGCTCAGCCAACCAAGGACACAAAGAGCTCTGATCCATCTTTCTGTCTCCTAAAAAGTGCCTCCTTTGCTCCCCGGCTCTGCCTGCCAGACCACATCCCCTCTGGAGCCATCAGTGGAACCCAGGAGTCCGGACCCCCACACCAACTATGAAGCCTCCAAAAGCCAGGAAAGGAACCCAGGGGTCCTGGTTTTTATTCGCTTCCTTCCAGTGCCACGAAGAGAACGCCGAGGTCCCGACTGCCAATTCCCTACTCCTCGGAGCCCGAAATAGAACCCAGGTGTCCTGACTTTATGGCTTCTCCTCCCACGCTCTAGCAGAGTTCAGATGAACTGGGGGGGATTGCGATGCGGAGACATGTGGCCGTCTGCAATCTCCCACCGCCAGACAATTGGCATTTTATGTTATCCACAGGGGTCAGGAAAAAAGGCACCGACTTCCCATTCATGCCTTGAATTTTTCACACACGGCGCAAGCAATGAAAGAGACAGGAGGGGGCTGATTATTGTGACCGGGTACAAAACCCTCTTACTCTGTCAAAGAAAAAAAAAAAAAAAAACCCTATTTTTTTAAAAAAAAAAAAAGGGGGGGGGGGGGGGTAATATGGTATCCATGGAAACGGGCCATTTCTTTCTAGTTGGGCCGGGGGAGTTGGGCATCAGGGGGTTTTATCCAAGCAGCCAGGATGGAACGGAGACTAGAACTGGGTCAGTCCAGCATCTGCCAAAGGCAAATGTCACCCCAGAGTGAAGCCATAAAACGGCTGGCGCACCCCACCCTT